TAAGGATGCAGAGGGCAGAAGATTAAATGACCCATGAAGCATCCAAAGAAGATGGAAGGAGTACACAGAGTCACTATACCGAAAAGAATTGGCTGACACAGAAGAATTTCATGAAACAATATACAATCAAGAGGCAACGGTGGTGAAGGAGGAAGTCTAAACTGCTCTGAAGTAATTGGCAAAAAACAAGGCCCCAGGAATTGATGGAATATCGATTGACATAATTCAGCAAACAAATGCTTCCCTGGACACACTCACCAGGTTATACCAAGAAATCTGGAGGACAACTACCTGGCTAACAAACTGGAAGAGATGGCTATTTATTACCATTCAAAAAAAAGGTGACCTTACAGAGTGTGGAAATTACCGAATAATATTATTAATATCACATGCAAGCAAGATCCTGCTGAAGATTATCCCAAAATGACTGTAACAGTACATCAACAGAGAACTTCCAGAGGTGCAAGCTGCGTTTAGAAGAGGCTGTGGCACCAGGAACATCGTAGTGAAAGTTAAATGGATCTTGGCAGAAAACAGAGAGTACCAAAGGAATGTCTGTCTGTGTCTCATTGACTATGCAAAAGCATTTGACAGTGTGGGTCACAACAAATTGTGGCTGACCATGAGAAGAAATGGGGATCCCAGAACACTTAATTGTGCTCATATGAAATCTATACTTGGACCAGGAAGCAGCAGTCATGTCAAAGCAGGGTTAACACTGCATCAGTAGTGCATCTCATCTCCACAACTTCTCGATTTATAAGTATAATAGATCATTCAGGAGAGTGGACTTTATGAGGAGGAATGTGTCATCAGGATTAAATGAAGACTCATCAACAACCTGCATTATGCAGATAACACAACCTTGCTTGCTGAAACTGAGGAGGACATAAAGTGTTTGCTGTAAAAGGTCAAGAACTTCAGTCTTCAATATGGATTGAAACTCAACATCAAAAAGACAAAAATTCTTACCACTGGGCAAATTAGCAGCACCATGATAGATGGAGAAGAAACTGAGATTGTTAACAACTTCAGCTTGCTTGGTTCCATAGTAACAATCTTGGCACCTGCTGTCAGGAAATCAAAAGATAAATTGTATTAGGAAAGTCTGCTGGCAGGGATCTCTCTAGAGTACTGAAGAGCAATGATGTCAGTCTGGTGAGTAAGGTGCACCTGATCCATGGTCTTTGCAATTACTCTGCAGAGAGCTGGACAATGAGTAAGAATGACAGGCAAAGAAAGTATGCCTTTGCATAATTTGTGGAGCTGGAGAGGAGTGCTGAAGATATCATGGACAGCAAGGAGAATAAACAGATCTGTCCTTGAGAGAGTGAAACCAAGCTGCTCCCTGGAGATAAGGATTTTGAAGCTCTGTCTTTTGGGCACGTAGCCAGGAGTGATCAGTCCTTGGAGAAAGGCATCATGATTGAAAGGGTGGAGGAACAGCACAGGAGAAGATGGGATAGATTGACTCAGTGACTAAAGAAATGAGATTAATCTCTTGAAGATGATGAAATTGGCTCAGGATAGAGCAGGGTTCAGAACGATTGTACATAGGGTCATTATGAGTCACAGGCAACTTGATGGTACATAACAACAACAATTGCCGTGTCCTGGGAGAGCTCTGATGGCTTTAGTGGTAAGAAGCTGCAGTGCAATCCCAAAGGCATGTGGTCAGAATATACTAGCTGATCCATGGTAAAAGGATGGGCAACCTCCTCCCATATCATTTACTGCTTCAGAAAACCCACTGGAGGATCAGCTATTGGTTGGTTCAGACTTGATTACACATTACAACAACGACATTTATGGTGTTCTGCATTCAAGAGATCAGGAGATGTATTTCATTGGACAAGTCCGCTGTCACGTACCTCTCTAAAATAATAAGGAACAATGATGTCACTTTGAAGTCTAAAGTGTGCCTGATTCCACTGATGGTCTTTTTCCCTCATTTGCTATGCATTTGAGAGCTAGATGGTGAATAAGAATGACAGAAGAAGAATTGACACCTTTGAGTTGTGGTGTTAGAGAAGAGTGCTGAAGATCCTATAAACTGCCAAAAGATGTCTTGGAAAAAGTGCAGTCAGAATGCTTATTTGAGGGAAAAATATGACAAAGTTTTAACTCACAAACTTTTGGGCATGTTTCTAGGAGAGGCTATTCCTTGGAAAAGAGCATTATACTTGAAAAGGTGGAAGGTCAGTGAAAGGAAGCCCCTCAGAAATGGATTGACCCAAGGACTGCATCAATGGGTTCAAGTGTGTGGGGGATAAGAAAGGCACAGGACAGGACAAGGTTCAGATCTGTTGTTTGCAGGGTCACTATGAGTCATACTCAACAACACCTAACAACAGTAATTGTTGGAGAAGAATACTATCTCAGGACAATGACAAGATATCTCGGTGAAAGACACAATCAGGGTCCTACATACTTAAGGCATGTTGTCAGGAGAGGCCAGTCCTTGGAAAAAGACATCATGCTGGGAAAGGTGAAGAGTCCGAGAAAGAAACAAAGACCCTCAATGAGCTGAATGGACAAAGTGACTTTAACAGCAATGAGTTCAAGCATATCAAAGACCATGAATGGTGAAGGAAAGTGCAAGATTCAGATCTTCTGTTCATAAAGTCACTATGAGTGGTAGTCATTTCAATGGTAAGTAACAATGAGAGAGCTTTGGTGGCCTAGTGGGTAAGGAGTTGCACTGTCAGCCCAAAGGCAAGTGGTTCTAATCCACCAGCTATTCCTTGGAAGAAAGACAGGCATTCTCCTCCCATGCAATACACAGACCCTGAAAAACTCACTGGAGGATCCACAATGAGTCATTTGAGACTTGATAGCAATCAGTTTGTATTTGTTTTGAAGAAAGCTTTATAACACTGACCTATAGCTATGAGGATGAAGGTCAAAGGGCTATTTTGAAAGCACTCTTGAGAAGTTGTCCTGACAGAAGAATCAAATCCAATTTTCAACCTGAACTGTAATCTATTAACTTCTCTAATAAACCCCAGGAAGGTAAAATACACACAATAGTCCTGTTCAAGACTGAATTATTGATTGATTCCTGTACTCTCTGCCCCACTCCTTGCCTCTCTGAAGCCTTCTAGGTCTTTGCTAAAACCTCAATGCGGTAGATTTGTCATTGAATCTTCTAGTTCTTCGTCAAAAACATGTTTAACTGTTACAGGTCCAGGTTGTGCTCAGTACTCAGCACACATGTACAAACATACATACATACACACACACAACACATTTGGCATTTTGAGTACCATGGATTCAGGGCATCCAAAGCAGATGCCATCTTCCTTTCAAATTGAACTTTCTTAGTCAAGAACAAAGAGAAGAAATGATGAAGTAAAAGAGTTGGACAGAGATTTCAAAGGAAACTGACAAAGACAAAGCAAAGTATTATAATGAAATGTGCATTGAGGTAGAGACAGAAAATCAAAGCGAAATACTCAGCATTTCTCAAGCTGTGAGAACTGAAGAATAAATTGAAGCCTGTAATTGCAATACTGAGGGATGCTATGGGAAAAATCTTAAATGATCCAAGAAGCATCAAAAGTAAATGGAAGGGATACCCAGAGTCACTGTACCAAGAAGAACTGAACAGTACACAACCATTTCTAGTAGTAGTATATAACAAGAACTGATAATAATAAAGGAGCAAGTCCAAACTGCACTGAAAGCATTGGCCAAAAATAAGGCCCTGGGAATCAGCCAAATATCAATTCCAAAAAACAGAGGTAGCCCAGAATTTCTCACCAGATACTAAGAAATCTGGAAGACCACTACCTGATCAACATCAGAAAAAGAAATCCATATTTATTCCCATTCCCCAAAAAAGGTGCACAAACAGAAGGTCGAAATTATTGAGTAGTATCATTGATATCACATGCAAGCAAAACATTCCTAAAGAATATTCAAAAACAACTGGAACAGCACATTGTCAAAGAACTGCCAAGACACTTCCTCAAAAGCTGAGCGTAGAAATTCCACATGATCCAGCTATTCCATTGCTTGGAATATACCCTGAGAAAATGAGAACTGAGGCTTAAACGGAGACTTGTACACCAATATTCATAGAAGTGTTATCTACCATCACAAGAACATAGAAACATCCAGATATCCAACCACAAACGAAGGGATTGAGAAGTCGTGGTACATCCATACAATGGAATACTACGCAGCACACAGGAGCAATGATTTTGTAAATTATGACCTAACTTGGGAGGGACTGGAGAGTATTATGCTGAGTGAACTAACTCAGTCCCACAAGGACAAATACTGTTTAAAATCATTATTGCAGAATGAGTATGAAGAGAATCCAAGGGGGAGGGAAGGTGAAAGCAAAGGGATGAGGACAGGGGGAGAGGGTGTTAAACATAGTGTTGTGCAATTTGATGGGTGGGTGGGGTGAAGGAAATGGGAAGGATCTTTTATGAAAAACAATGTATTCAAACTTTGCAAATAAATAAATTTTAACACACACACACACGAACTGTCAAGAATTCAAGCCAGATTTAGAAGAGGCCACCAGAGATCTCATTGCTGATATTAGATGGATCTTAGCAGAAAGCAGAGAATACCAGAAGGATATCTATGTGTGTTGTGTCGACTATGCAAAAAGCATTTGACTTTGTGGATTACAACATATTATGGCTAACATTCAGAAGAATGAGAATTCCGAAACACTTAATTGTACTCATGCAAAACCTACACCTAGACCAAGAAGTTGTTGTTTTGTTTTTTTTCTTTTTTTTTTCTTTTCTAGAACTTAGAGGTTTATTTAAAGTCTTGTAGATTCTGCACATTCACAATTTACTCATGATACAGTCTTTTAATTATCTTCCACCTAAGTCTCTCTATAGAATGATTTCAAATTTTATCATTTACTTTAGAATACTAGCAAGTATTTAAAAAACCAAACAAACCAAAAAACCAACATAAGAACAAAGAATGTGTGTCTTTCGGGACAACTCTTTTGCTGTGAATTGTCCACTTTAAATGTCTGTGGTATTCTGGGTGAACCAGGAAGGCCGTTTTCTGTCTTGCTCAATGATCCTCTTGCCTTTATCTTGCTCAGCTGGCTTCTCTTCCCTGTACAAAACCACGGTCTCTACAGCAGGAGCCTTAAAAGGACCGCCTTCTGCTTTCCCTATCTGTCTTCTGATTTCTGCAGTCTCTGCACGTACCTTCTCATAGCAATAGCCACAAAGAACATGCTTCTGTTTCAGGTGACCACATTCAGGACAAACATCTATATTATTCTTAACTTTAATAAGTTTCTGAGGGTTTCTTCTTCTGCACCGGTTAACTTCAATACTGCGTCTGTTTTTCGGAGCTGCCATCCAAAAGATGCTATCCCAAAGACTAGAAATCTCCATACTTTCACTGGTATCATTTGCTAGTCTTGCAACTATCGATGGCCCCTGGACTGCTAATGCTGGTTCCCAAGGAGGACTGGTAAGTCCTGGGAGGCTCTGCCGAAGTTTATGCTGCAACTGCTCCCAGCAGTTTCGGAGTACTCCCAATGATGACGGACAACAACAGAGCAAAGGAACACTGCATGGCAGTTCAAAATCAAGAAAGGTGTGCAAATCCAATGGGCAATCCTTAGAAGACACAAAGCGGCTTACAAGAAGTGAGCGAGGCAAGAAGAGGAGGAAAGCCATGTCAAGTACCATGTTATGGAAGCAGTAACTGCCTTTTTGGAGTAATATGATTGAGTGACTGCTTTGTAGCCAAATGTACAGAGTTTGAGGATTGGAAATGCATTCTGTAAATAAAGATGTCCATGTTAAAAAAAGAAAAAAGAAAGGTGTGCAGCAGGCCTGTATCCTTTCTCCACATCTCTTCAATCTGTATGCTGAACAAATCAATCAAGAAGCTGGGTTTTAAGAATAAGAAGGTGGCAGCAAGATTAGAGGAAGACTCATTCATCAACAACCAGTGACATGAAGATGACACAACCTTGCTTGCTGGAAGTGATAAAAACTTGAAGTGCTTGCTGCAGAGGATCAAGGTCTACAGCATTCAATATGGATTACATCTCAAGATCAAGAAAACAAAAATCTTCACTATTGGGCCAAAAGACAACATCAAGATAGATGGAGAAATGGTTAAAGTTGTCAGTGACTTTCTCTTATGTGGATCCACAATCAATACTCTTGGCATCAGTAGTCAAGGAGATGAGTTTTATTGAGAAATTCTGCTGTCATGGACCTCTCCAGAGGACTAAAGAGTAGTGATGTCTATTTAAAGACCAAAGTGTGTATGATCAAAGTCATGTTCTTCTTAATTGCTTACTGTACATTTCAAAGTTAGGTCATGACTAAAGATGACAAAAGAATCTATCCCTCCTAATCGTGGTGTTGGAGAAAAGTACTGAATATCGTATCAACTGCCAAAAGAACAAACAAGTATGTCCTGAAGAAAGTGAAACCAGGTCGTTCCTTGGAGGCAACGATGGTGAAAGTCTGTCTCACATACTTTGGGCATGTTGTTAGGAGGGACCAGTCCTTGGGAGGACATCATGCTTGAAAAGTTGGAGGATCAGCAAAAGTGAGAAAGACCCTCTGTGAGATGGATTAAGACAGTGACCACAACCATGGGCTCATGTGTGTAGGAGACAGTGAGGACAGCATGGGATAGGGCATGACTTAGAGCTGTTGTTCAGAGGGTCACTATGAGGCTCAGCCAACTTGATGGAACATAACAATAACAACTATCCCTTCATTGCAAGGAAATGGTACCCCCATCTGAGCCAAAATTATCATCATTCTTACTCTTTTTCCCTCACTTGATGCATCCAATTGTTGGTCAAATTCTGCCAAGTCTGGTTCCAGAACTGCTCTTAAATCTTTGCCCACTTCCATTCCCTCTTACCATTACCTATCCCTTAGTCCAGCTCCCATTTCCTTGGAGATGGATCTTGGAATTATCTTCTCAATACAGATCGGTATCCAAGCCTACTCCTGCTAGGGCGACTCACAGAGATTTTCCTTTAAAAATGCATCAGCAGAGAAGATGGCACAGCTTCACTTTCCCTGCTCCTTCCTATACATGAAATTGTTGTTATGTGTCGTCGATTAGGAACTGACTCATAGCTGACCCTCCGGCAGGTTTTTAGAGGCAGTAAATCGCACCGGAGCTTGCACATCCTTCTCCCATGGAGCATTAGTGGATTCAAACCACATGCCTTTGGGACTGAAGCACCGCTTCTTAACACTAGGCCACCAGAGTAACTAAACATTCAAAAAGAATTCAACAACTATGAAAGGGTTTTGAAAATGGCTAAGAAGGTAGTAGACTTGTTAAGAAGCTCAGAACTTAAATTAAAAAAATAATAATAATAAAAAATAGAAATAAAAGCAGCTCAGAACTTGAGAGGTGACCCTGTACTGAGCAAGTGTCTTGGAGTTTTATTTCCTATGTATCCCAAACTGGATGCCAGAAAGGTCTGCAACCCGATTGCCAACTACATGCACACAACCCCAAAACCACAAAGTCTCCTGTCTCTGGCCAGAAGATTGAGAAAGAGGAAGCCTAACCTAACAGAAAGAGCCCCAACGGAGAGCCCCTAGCCCCACTTTACATAAAAGCAGGGGCTGACCAATTCTCCCACAGCGGCAGTGTCAGCAGAGATGGTGAGGATGGCGTGGCACCAGGGAGAGTTTCATTCTGTTGCACACAAGGTCGTTAAGTGTGGGAGCCAACTCGATGGCAACTCACAGCAAAGCATGACATTTCTCTCCCTGGTTCTTCTCATTCTCTTCCCTCTTTACCTTTCCCCACTCCTACCCCTCACTCTCTCGGGACCTTCTTTCTCTCTGATCCATAAGCTGTTGGTATAAAAAGTTCAGTGTGTTACCTCCACCTGGAGCATCCACATGGTAACAGAAAACTCAGCTTTGGGCCAAAAATAGGAAGTTCTAATTGTGGAATTACAGCCAGAGGCGGCAGACTTTTACCCAGAGGGGGCGGGGTCAAGTTGGTCACTACAGCTGCCCCCACCCCTGATACTTTCCCAGAACCACCCCGCAGCTTACCTAAGTTCCTCCAGCCCAGGCTTATGTTATGGTCTTTGTGAGATCACTGTTACCCAGAATTCTCCCAGCCAATGAGGCGAAGAACCTATTCAGACCCTCACAATTGCCTGGAGATGCTCTTACCTCCAAGGAAGACCAAGTTCTTTGCCTTTCATTTAAGGCTTCCCGTAAATACACCCCCTAAAACACTTCTGTTGGCCTTGGGGAAATAGCATGGTCCTGAGGAATGTCTCAGAATTTGGGGTGCAGTAAGCCTGGAACAGAGCGCTGTGTATAATGTATGCAGAGAGCTTTGGTCTGAGACCAATCTCTGATCAACCCAGCTCCATCCCTGGATGAGTCCTTGCATCTCTGGACACCCATCTCAAGCCTACTTGTTCTTCCTGGGGGACTTTCAGGTCCTTTGTACCTACTCATACCTGTTCATCTTTCCTGTCCTCCTATCTATAGAGATTTCTTGGCTGCAATCTTTAAAAAAAAAATAAATAAATTTTAAAAAAACACATAAAAATGTTTTATTTTAGTTCTCATGGTTGAAATAACAGTAATATTATTCAGTATTGGTCCTTTTATGACTGAGATATTTCACTCAACATAATGTACTCCAGGCGCTTTCATGTTGTGTAATGTTGAGTTCATTGTTTTCCAGTTCTATGTAAATGGTATATCTATTTCCAACTTTTTGAGAAAGCACTAGATCACTTTCCATAGTGGATGTACCATTTTACATTCCCACCAGCAGTGAGTAAGAGTTCCAATCTCTCCACAACCTCACCACCATTTGTTGTTTGCTGCCCTATTGAACTATGCTGTTGTTGCTGGGGTGAGATGGTATTGCATAGTTGTTTTGATTTACATCTCTCTGACAGCTAGGAATTTTGAATATGTTTGTTTGCCATCTGAATGTCTTCTTTGGTGAAGTGTCTATTCATATTCTGTGCCCAATTTGTGATTGGGTTATTTACCTTTTTCTTACTGAGGTGCTGGAGTATTCTATAAATTTTAGATGTAAGTCCCTTGCCAAATATTTTTCCCAGTTTGTAGGTTTTTGTTTTACCCTGTTGGAGAAGTTCTTTAAAGTTCATTGGCTGCAATCAGTGTTGAAGCAGAATACTATCTCTTTCTTCTGTGACATGCTAAGTGATTCAAACCAATAACTTCTAGGTTGAGCAAGAACCATTTGTGACATCCAGGGACTTTTTAATGGCAACGCCAATCAGCTTTTTCATTCACTCTTCAAATATCCCTTGAGTCTCAACTTCTCACCAGGCTCTACCCAGGCACTGAGACTCATGGTTAATTCACTATTCACTCTTCAGTAATTTCATCTGATATTAAACCATCACCTGTTGAGGGTATTTCTCCAGCCCAGCACTATCATCTCAAGACTGGCATATCCCCTTTGCTGGTTGTTTATCTATTACTTGGATATCAGATAAGCAACACAAATTTAACTTGTTCCAAAAATAGAATTTCTGATCTGCCTCCCCTCAAAACTCTCTCATTTACCTCATTTCAGCAAAAAGCAAATCCATTTTTTTAAGTTCTTCAGGTCCAAAATGTTGGGAGTCATTGCTGACTCTCTTGCTCCGCATTCCTTGATTCACTAGCAAATCCTGTTGGCAATACTGCTTCCAGGGAGCTGCATGCTCCAGTCATCAACCCCCCTGGGCTAGTGGGCGGTACTGGCCCTCCCTTGCTGCATCCTCCCAGAGCAATAGCACATCAGTCTTGCCACAAGACCTCCCACAGTACCTGTGTCACAGAAGGTTATCCCCTCATTCCAGTCAAACCCCAAATCCTCACAATAGTTTATGAAACACTCAGCTTCTGCTGTACTACTCGGCCCTCTTGTCTTCCTCCTTTAATCCTCCACTCTCATTTCCCCCACTCTCTCCTCGCACCTCATAGGCCTCCTCACCCATTGCTTGCACCAGCCAAGCAACCTTCCAGCTTGGAGCATCTGCGATTTGCCCCAGATGCCTGTATATCCCACTTTCTCACCTCTTCAGCCTGTGCTCCTTGATGAATCCTTCCTTGGTCTCCCATGAGTTAGCAACATCACCCCCACTTGGTAGGTACCTCCTACTCCTTTCTTGCCTCATTTGCCTCCAGGGCTCTTTGAGACATGGTTTAATTGACCTGGGAGTTCGTTGGGAGTACAAGTAGATCGTGAGCTCTGGTGGCTTAGAGGTAAGTAGCTGCACTACCAACCCAAAGGCACAAGGTTCTAATTCTCCTGTGGCTCCTCAGGACAAAGATGGGCAATCTCCTGAGTGATGTATGTTGTTGTTATTGATTGCTGTCAAGTAGGTGACTCTATCAACAAAAAAACTTAATTCCTTTCCATAACTATTGTCATTTTTTTCAAGTTCATGAAGTTTCCAGAGGCATGTGGTTTAGGAAATGAATGCCACTCCTGCTTCCAAACCTGTTTTACAACTGGGAGCTCCACCAAACACTGTCCACATTGGGAAACCATTCTGGTATTTGATACCCCAAAGATACAAGGTT